ACACACACACACACACATACCCAGCAGGCCCAGCAGTATAACACACGCAGTCACAGGAGCAAGACACAACACAAAGCACAGTGAGTATTAAACATTATAATACCACAAGTAACAAATAAAATTCAGAACGCGGTATTAGTGAATAACAATTTCACGTTACAGATACACACACGAAAGTAGGAAGAATACTCCTATAGAAGAAGAGAGATGTGACTCGCGTATTGAGATACGACATAAGGATGACAAATCCTGAACAGTTTCAATATTTAAAATTTATCAATATATATGATGAATATATATTTTAGTATAAAGACAACAGGGCATGCAATGAAGTAGTTTGACATACATCGAAAAGCACCTGAAGAAAGCACTTTTGTGCTGAAACATGTAGTGCAAGAGAGAAGAGTAAGGTGAATAAATGTATGCACTGTAAGACGGTTAGAATAAATCATGGACATATATATTATCATTTGATATATTTGTTATAGTGTCTTTGAGTTGGTATGTCCTACCCAAAAACCAAATTTCGGTCTACAAGACCTTTTCACGTTTCAATCTGTTGGACATCTCTAACTGGTCCAGTTTTCATCAAAATCCCATGAAGCATATGTTTAGCTGTGAAAATGGTCCTAATACTGAAACAGTTCCCAATGCATCTGAATTTCTTGGAGATAATTGGGATAATGACATTGCCCTGGTATATTTTATCTGAAAGATGGTTGCTTCACGATGGCTTCATCATGGAGCCAACAAATTCATGTGGGTATTCATTAAGTATCAGATCATGTCTTATGTTCTCAATTTCATTGTTGAAATATGAACATTGTGGCGCAATCTTGCCAAGACAGAAGAAGTCACGCTGTTTTCATGTTTTCACTTCCATTTGATTTGTCTGTGGAAGAGAACATAATGTAGTTCATCTGCATGCAGTATAACCAGAATACTGTTCACTGTACAAAACATAGGGGATTCTCCACCACAAAAGGAGGTGGGGGGAAGGAACTCTGTATTCTTAAATATGTGAGCAAAACAGTTTCTGTGGCCAAAAAGTGTAAGTAATAATGACATGAAAGCAAAGTATGTTCACTGTATGAGAGAAATTTCAGTTTCACATGGTGGTGGAAGTGACATGAAACAACATACTTTGACTGCATTCATAAAGATATGATGCTGAGACATGTGCAGGCTTCTACAAACAACAGAATTACTTCTTTTCATAAAAATCTGATGCTGAAACTTGTACAGGCTTCTAAAAACAACAGAATTACTTATTTCTTTGTAACAGATGCAACTACTGAAGAGCAAGCCATTACAGCAAGTGAATTTTCTTCATGCTACCATAATGTGGCACACTGTGGCAGAAATTTTGGCACTTTTCAGTATTTAATGCTCTGAATGCTCTGTGAAGGACAAGCCCATGAGTGGGAAGTGATAGCATAGCTACCACAGTCTTTGTTACAATAACAAAATGTCAAAACAAGAGGCTCAGTATGAAATCACTGCTGTTGTTTATATCTGGCCTATACCTCATGCTAATACGTCACCAAAGCGCCAGAGATGTACTTACAAACTATGCACAGATGATTAACTTGAGTTTTGTATGCACAAATGGCACAAGAATGACATCTTAAGGATACTACACTGTGCTACAATATGTGGAACAGAGCATAATTTAATGTCCTACATTCTGCAATGCTATGGGTGGCAAAAGGTTAAAATACTCAGTTAGCTTCCAAGTATGAACTTAAGAACAAGGCCATTAGATTCACAATACATGAATGCCTCTATAAGGAAAACTCATAGAATCAATGCAACCAAAACCAATAGGAGTTTATATTTAGATTTATTTATATTTATAGTTTATATTTATTTAGAATTATACCGCAATTGATACTCGTTAGCTGACATCCCTTTGTTGAGCTGAGATTGCCTCTGATTGGGTACAGTGAAGGACAGTGAGCACATGAGACCTAGGATAAAGCTAATACTCGTAAATGAGAATTCTTTCTGACCCATTTGTCATATTCTGGCAAGATCCAATCCACATGCACTGTGTTCTCAGTCCTAATAAGTTTATTTTTATATATAAAAACCATTTTTAAAATCTGCATATGCCCTGCCACATTCTGCAGTTGTCATACCATACATTTAACTCTAAAGACTGAGCCTCATTTTATAGAGAATATTTATAAGGTAGCACTGTTCCATACATTAAGTTACAAAGTGAAGATTGTTACAGTTCGTATTTCAAATATGTAACCTACGTCATCAGAGATGCTTCCTTTAGATTTGTTGGAGCTGCTCTTCTCTTGGTACGACCATGGGGATTACCAACATTTCCTTTTTCTGTAACAGCAAACAATTCATGTTACAATTTTCTCTCTACTCATAACTTTATGAAATAAAAATTAAATGTATGAGGAAAACATAGCCAATGCCACACAGCAGAGGCCTTCACAAGATGCCAAGTCACTTTGCTGGTCAAGATATGCCCTATCTTTATGGAGCCTAAAGATTCACTAATATGTTGACAAGGGCCCTCTACTACCTCCACACTGAGGGAGTCAAATACAATTCACACCCTCACACTCCACTTCTTTAAAAGTCACTTTAACAGCAATGTCTAGCTGGCTGCCCAAAGCCATCTCTTCCCTTCAGATTTTTTGTATACTGTATGCACTGTATGTATTTACCCTATACATGCTACAAGTCTCACCCACCTCAACCACCCTCATTTGTTCATTTCAATAGCATTTGGTGAAGAGTACAAATTATAAAGCTCCTCACCATCTGCATGTCTCCTGTTACTTCTTATCTCTTTATGTCTAAATGCTCTCCTCAGCACCCTGTTCTTACACTCTCAATGTAGATTCTTCTCTGAATGAGTGACAGACTAAGCTTCACACCCATATGAGGCAACAGGAAACATCAAAACCACAATACTGTATATAGTTTTAACAAATATATTATTTTTTTAATTTTCAGCTTAAGATACGAGTATATTTGAAGAACACGTTTAACATGGCTTTCTGACACACGGGGACATCAGCAACAATATTTTAAAATCAAACAATAATAATTTTCAATTTTATAGTAATTTCATTATACTTCATTCTTCAATAAAGTATTACAGTACGTACTGGAACCATGCATTTATTTGGGAAATTTTTAAATAATTTATATACAAATGATAAGGAAGAGTTTCAGTTGCATTACCCCAATTTTTCAGATAGGGACAGATCTATTCTACACTTTTATGCATGCTGCAAAATAGATGGCAACAGAACAACTTTATTCTCTATGTCACATCTGAGGTTCTCACAGCAGCGACAATGAAGACAAATCTTATGGGATGTTCATGCTGTGTAGCATGGTAGAGGTCCACTGACATTTCAGTGGAATGTATTGTTTCCATCTTCCAGGTTTAATAACCCAGGCAAGAAACTGGCACAAGCAGGGAGCAAGTAAAGCTCCTTATTCTGGCTTAGTTACTCCAAAAATTGAGTTCCCTATGCCTACTGGACAGAAGATTTAACATGTGCCTCCTGTAAGGATTTGGACCTAATTAAGTTTCAAGTGTTTTATATGCAACATAAACATTGAAAATTGCATACTCATTACATTAAAAAACTGGAGTTCTGTGTATTTCTCTCTCTTTGTTTATGCTATCAACATTGATCTGACTGTGCTTAGTTCAGTAATATCCAATTAGCTACAAGATAAATAAAAATCAATCTGATCAGTCATCTTTTATAGCACTTTCATTTCAGCTCACCTCCACATTACAATCAATTATATTGACACTCAAGATACCTTCTGGAAGCATTTGGTTGTGAAAATTTTTGCTGTTAGCATTAGAAGTCTGGATGTCTAGATTCAGCAGCATGGAATTAAATGTGAAACTCCATTTGAGTTTCAGTCCTTGTGGGATGAACAGGGTAATGCATGGCAAAAAAACAAAATGGAAGGAAGGGTCTGTAAATGCTATTCTTCTTTTCCACAGGTTATTCACCTACACACACTGCAAGCCTATGTGAAGTTCCATAAGAACTGCCGGCATGTGTCTTCAGAAAATTTGAGTGAACAGACTGTCATTTTTTGTATCCACTTGACCAAAACCTCATTCCTGTGATGAACTTGCTTGTAAACAGGTCAGGATGAGTGGAAAGAAGTGGAAAACTGTGGGATCTGAGGTTCTCATGGCAGTGACGTGACCCTTTATAGTCTGCAAGAAGTTTAGGGACTTTTCAACCTGAAGACGGTGGCAGGCCATTCCTCCAAAATGTGGTAAGTTTCTACCAGACTACGTCACATAATATTCAGGAAGAAAGTATTCTTCAAATGGACACCAGTCAAAAATAATCTGTGTATTAAATTTTTAAAGCATTTAGTCAGTCTAAGAATGAATTCACAACATAGAATGTCCTATAACTTTATGTTACTACTTCAGAAGGTCACTCCTGAAACCATTCAGAGTGACAAATTTTATTCTAAAATGAGTCCTATTCTCAATGGTTTTGGAGCTATGGGTATTTGAAATGTAGCTTGATTTGAAGAAATATATTATTGGTATAAGCATTTTTAAAAGAAAAAAGGTAAAATAATTACATTTTACATTTTGTGGAGCTTAAAGTATTTGTTCAAAATAAATGCCATCAGCTTTGACAAATAACCAGGTTTGTTTCACTACAAAATGCGTAACCTTACTAAGAACTGCATCTTTTGCTGCCAAAACTTCACTGAAGTACCAGTATTATGTTTTCGGACATTATCCATCGCCTTGTGTATTTTACAAAAAACTGTCCTGTTTCTTTTTTAAAACACAGCGTTTCAGAGACTGGATTCCGTCCCTGTCCTCAGGTAAAACCTACTCAGTTAGGTTCAATAGACAGAACTCGCCCCTATCTCCAGGCATCTATTCCAGTTTCAGAAGGGGTTCATAAACCAAGCACAACACAAACCACCTGTGAGAGCTAAGAAAATATTCAACTACTGAAACTCCACACATGAGGCATATTGGACCCAAATGAGTAGGTTTTACCTGAGGACCAGGACAGAATCCAGTCTCCGAAACGATGTGTTTTAAAAAAAGAAACAGGACTTTTTTTTTAAATAGACAAGACAATGGATAACGTCCAAAACATAATACTTGTAGCAATGTACCATCGTCACAAACTTTTAGATCTTATTTCAGTGAAGTAGTTAATCTTTTGTGCCCACTTGCAATCATATGTCATGTGTTTCATGTGACCCTATATGTGACAATCTTAAGGAGCTGCGACCAGATTAATGTGATGGCCAGTTCAGTGTATGGTCATAACAATTCATCAGCCAGGGAACTATTCATTCAGAAACTGCAATACATTAAAAAAACCATAGCTTCAAATATGCTGATGAAGCCATGTTGATGTAACATTTTTCACTTAGAATGACCTCAGGGTTCACCATCTCAAGTTATGACATAAAGTCACAGGACACTCTGTATGCGTATACTTGACCATGACAAGTGTAGGAGGTAGCTTTTTCTGGAGCTCTGAATAAAAGTTCATGTCACTGCAGTATAATGTCCAATGCACATAATCACCATAAAAACAAATGTCAATGCAACTAACCTGTCTCACTCCTTACGTACTCCAGCAGGGGTGAAGTCATCCTGCTTTGGGGCGTACTTAATGGCTCTCTGTGTGCAACTGACTGTTCTCTATGCAACATAAAATCATTATATCAAATAACAGTCGAATACCATATATATTGTTATAAATAAGTGTATATCAAACAATATAGACAACAAAACATTCATTCAGGGCTGGTTATAATTTAAAGACACTACATTAAGCAGTTGAGTTGAACAGTGTCAAATGATGTTAACAACCTAACTAAATCCACAGCATCCGCACCACCAAGACAAAAGCCCATCAGTACAGCCAGATAAATCCGAACCATTGGGCCATGCCATAGCTCAAGCAGTTAGTTGCTGGCTTCCCACGGCGGACCGGGTTTGATCCCGGGTCTGGTCAAGTGGGATTTGTGGTGGACAAAGTGGTGCTGGTGCAAGTTTTCTCTGAGTACTTCGGTTTCCCCTGCCAATCTTCATTCCACCAATTGTTCCACAATCACCCTCACCTATCATCTGGGGCTGGTACAATAGGCTGGAAGTGGCAGAAGTACAAGGGAGTTAGTCCCACCCCACTAGCAATAAAAAAAAATTCAAACCACAATTATAGAATATATTACCCTTTTAAATACAATCATTATTTCGCCCAAAACAATATTATGTAATAGCACAAATTATGTTGTGCTCATTCAGTTTGACTTTCCCACACTTTTGTGTAAAGTTTCATAGTTCTACCACCAGAGGTTTCTAATTACAGCCATGAGAATGGTGCAGTGAATGAGTATGTCAGTGTGGAACAGTGTGCAGTGGCTGAGCTTTTGACTGCAGAAAACTTGGGCTTTCTCAGTAAGACAGCAGGACTGCTCAGCCACATGCCACTCTTGCCCAGTCACACACAGAAGAGGCTTTCCCGGCCAGATGCTAGTCTTTCCCAGCCACAGACCAAGAGGCTTTCTTGGCCAGATGCTAGGTTTACCCAGCCACAAGCCAGTCTTGCCTGGCCAGACACAGATCAGGCTTGCTCAGCCTGAAGCTAGAAGTTCAGAACCTCACATTCTGCAGCAAAATTGCTTTCTAGGGCATTAATGTTGTAGGACATTCAAACTTTATGCCTACTGGTACCACCATTAACTCTGAACACAACAATAAAGCGGCACAAAAAGTGAAGTAATGTATCTGTGGAGTTTTTCTTTATATGCAGCATATTTTCCTTCAATGTAACAATGTGAGAACTGATGTGACTGCATGAATGAATGGTCATCATTTCCTGTGAGATGACAAAGTCAAGTAGGGTGATGATGTGGTTCTGCCAACAAAGACGCAAAACTCTGTCATGATAAATTCATGAAAGTACCTGAAAAGTACCCACTTTTGTTTCATTGAATATCTAGTCATATTATGGAAGGGATGGGAGGAGAGGAGGCATTACTTTTCAGCATGCCATGACGCTTTCCTGTCATCTACAGTCTTCCGAAGGACTGCTTCTAAAGAGTCTTGCACATCAAAATTAAGATTAATCGTTTGGCATATGTCACATACTTAACACACTTACCTCTGTCTTTAATGCAGCTTTGATTATAATTTCCCTTCATTGAAAATAATATTAAAATTAAAATTAAACTGCTATATGTTTTGGCCTTACTTGGCCATCCTCACGCAACTGTTCAATTCTTTGAAATTGCTACAGTGCATTAGTTCTTAAGATAAAATATTCCATTGTTACTGCATTTTCATTGTTCACACCATTAATAATATTAAAACAGTAAAAAAGTTGAGTAACAGGCATCACCCCCCCCAAGTGTCTCCACCTTGTCATGGTGGTGGGGCTTGCGTGACTCAGTGACCTGGAGAGCTATGCCAGCGATAGTTCAACTACCAGAAGGGTCACCCATGCCAGAAAGGTCAAAGGGTAGAGTCCAGACTATGAGAGATACACTGGTCCTCCAGGTTGGGGGTTGGCCATGAGGAGGCTAACAACCTCATCCAGTGAAAAGAATTTTGTTCAGAAACCTAATAACCAGCCTCGCATCATGCATGGATCCATTCCTATAGCAGCATGAACTGGTTGTGGAGACTGGTTGTGGAGGAGTCCAAAGTTCACCCAGGGCTGTAGCACCAAGTGGTAGGTAGGCAACAGGCATCACAGTCTTCAGTAATAGGAAAATTCAAAGAGCTTCCGAATAGAAATTTGTACATGTTATCAATGTCAAGCATTCACAATATCTGTGATGACATAAATAAAGTTAATATAAAATGAATTAAAATCCTCTGCAAAAATTGAAAGAATTTCAGTTCTCCTAATACCACTACAAGAAAATTTTACTGTAATCTATTTTGCAGACAAAACTATGTGACCCATCAACAAAACAAACTGACCTGGAACATGAAATATGAGGTTCTCATGACAGTAAATTTGATGAGAACCATTTTCTGAGATGTGACGCAGTTTAGTGTGATAAGCATTCATCAGCATTTTCGAGGAATGTACATTTTTCATCATTGGAGCTCATACACAAGCAGCTGTTTGGTGCTTGGCTTACTACATAACTTTTAAGGAAAAGGCAGTATGGTGCTCTCGAAAGTAAGTAAACTTCTACCAGATGACACAGTGTCATATCCAAGAAAATGGTTCCCATTGCCGGTCTATAACATACCTATCAATTGCTGCCTCCTTAGAAACTGCTTTTGACCCTGTTTTCATACTTCTTGATAAACTTTTGGAATTTGTTCTTCCAGAGTGAGCCTTATTTCGACTTTGGTTCTTCCTGGCATTCTTCCTTGGCTTCCATTCCTCCTCCGATTCTGATACGCCTGAAGTGTCATTATTATGCTTCATCCTTGGCTTTTTTGTATAAGGCAGAGTAACAACTCCTCCACACAGCTCCATAGACTCTGACTGCATCTTACAAATATCGGAACAACCAGCTGTGTGAGTGTTCATTTCCTTCCCCATATTGCTTGAGGATGTACTGCTCGTAACATTATACAAAGGCATACACTCTGTGATATCCATGTCTTCATCATCAGTCTTATCACTTTCTATAGTTCCCGTTTCTGCTTGTGGATCTTGAAGGTTGTTTTTTGCTTGCTGATGCTGAAATCTGCCTGAAATTTCTTTCTTTGGTGTAGCATACGTGGCATTCCATTGACTTCCAGAGTTTCCCTGAAAACATCAGATCTTAAAATGTGTATCCAGGACTTCACTGCAAAGTTAAATACAATGTATATATGTATGCATGTGTGCACACATGCATATGTCTACATACAGCTTGTGCATAAGGAATGGTCAAGCTTTAGGAGGCTGTTAAATTAAGTGCTAATGAATGAAAATGTTACATCAACAAGTGTCTCACTTATGACAGTTATGAAGTTATGGATATTCACATTTAAGTAGTATAAGGAATAAATGATAGAAACAACAGCTCCAAAATTAAATCAAATCTACAATAAATGTTGAAACTAATAATCTGTCAAGAGTTACTGAATTTTTGGACTCTGTCCATCATTCAGTACTCTAAAAAGCAGGGAACACAATGCCTCAGAAACTGGATCTGTTTCCATCCACAGGTGAGGGGGGAGGCACCTACTCTATTGGGTCCCTTGGAAAGAGCTAACTTCAATCATTGGAGGTTAGCTCTTTCTAAGGAACCTAACAGAATATGTGTCTCCCACCCTTTCAGTTGGGGACAGAAACAGATCCAGTTTCTGAAATGTAGGATTTGAGGTTTTCACAGTGGTGACTATAAAGAATGCCATCTTCTGGGATGTGGTGCAGTGTATATCTTCTGAGAACCGAATTTTCGGAGGAATGTGTCACCTCCATCTTCAGGGTAGGAAAATCCATGAGCGAGGAACCAGCATGAGCAAGTGGCTACTGGATTTTTCTACCCTGAAACTTCGGTTCACACAAGATCTACATGGCGCCTCATCCTAGAAGACGGCATTCTTCAGTTTCTGAAATGCTGTGTTGTCTATTTTTTATAATACTGGATGATGGACAAAGTCCAAAAACCCATTAATTCTTAGAGTTATATGCCATCATCAGAACCCTTTAGAATCTCATGACTTTTTTTGCAAATTCCTTTCTAATGGAGCTACAGAGACCTTAACTAGTCCCCAAACCTATTCTTGTCTGAAATTTTTTCAATGCACATGGGATGCTGGCTTAACCTTTATCATCTGTGTCCCCATCCTCTGGACCAACTGTGTGTTACACTGCTGTGACACTAGAATATTACTTTATTTGAAGCCAGCCTACAAATTTATAACACTGATATTTTTCCACTGCTCTACACAAAATTTTCTTTGCCTTCCTACTGTGAGTTACTTATATACACTGATATACAAGGGGGTACCCAAAAGAAACCGAACTTTTTTTTTAAACTTATTTATTCAAATTTTAAGCACAAACCTTCAATCCCCTTCAAAGTACTCTCCACTTACACTAATACACTTGTCTAGTCTTTTATTCCATTTTTCAAAACATTGTCTAAATTCATCTTTTGAGATGCTTGACAGCGCCTCCGTCGTTTTTTTCCTTCACCTCAGCAACATCAGCAAAACGCTGAAAAAAAGTTTTGATCATTTCGGGACTCTTCTTTCAAAGCACAGGATGCTTCCATGCGACCTTGTTTTTGTTCAGCAGTCAGCAGTCGTGGCACGAATTTCGCAGCCACCCTTTTCATTCCCAAATCTTCTGTCAAAATTCGCTGAACTGAGCTCCAAGTCACTCCCGACAGCTACACAATTTCTTCAATGGTCCGTCGTCGATCTTCCTTGATGATTTCACGAATTTTTTCAACATTTTCATGTGTTCGGGCCATGGAAGGACGACCAGAATGAGGTTTGTCATCAATTGACATTTCACCATTTTTGAAATGAGAAAACCACTCAAACACTTGAGTTTTCCACATAGCATCGTCCTTGTACGCCGTTTTTAACATTTCAAGAGTTTCTGTTCCACTTTTCCTGAGCAAAAAGCAGAATTTCACCGCCGCACGCTGTTCACGAAAATCAGCCATTGCAAAAACGACGATCACACAAAACAGTTGTCACTATAAACTCTGCCGAAACTAGTCCTTACATTCTGAAGCAACAGTAGTCGGATTATCGACTCAGGAATGTTAGCTCTATGTGCTCATAGCAGCAAAACGCAGTACTACAAAAACTCTGCCCACAAAAAAAATAGTTCCGTTTCTTTTGGGTACCCCATCATACACTTACTCTAGCAGGACAAGTATTGCCATGAAAATTTCAGTGTCAGTAAACTTATTCCATGTGATTATCCTATCAATATGCCATTCCAGCTAAGTATGTTTTGTCAGCCTTAAGGTAGCAGCTTGTAAATGAATCAGAATAAAGACAGAAACAAATGAACATTTTGTGTGTTTGTAGATGGAATTATGGTAATGGGAACATGACAATGACATACAGGTTTCTTTCCTGTTTTTCTGCTGTAGTGTAAGTGGGAGGTGAAGTGAGGGGAGAGTGAGGGGAGACAGACTACCAATCGTAAGTGTCAGAAAGTGACTGCAAGATTATCTTGTGAGAACGGAGAGAAACTATAGTGCTCTCAAGCACTGCAGTTGCATAGAATGGGAAGTGTCTGGACCACCACTGAATTGCATAATCTTGTTACAGACACTGCACTGCCTAATCCTCAATATGGCCAAGAGCAGGAGGTCTGTATTATCACTCTGAATAGAATACAGTTGTATAATAGCACAAATATTGATGACTAAGGGAGATACTGATCAATGTCTCATTTTGGGCAGTGACACTAATGGAGCAATCCCATCTCATAATGAAAGTGAGTTTGATGAAACCACAGCAGCAGCAGATAAAAACAGTAATGCAAGCAGAACGTGAGATAATGAAATGTGGTCAAAACCCACATTTCCTTGGAATTCTGGTGGTATCCATCCTCTCACTGAAGGTCTCAGTAAACTGAGGATACAAGGGACACTGCATGTGCACAAAAATCTACAATAAGAGTGTTTCTGGTCATCTTCATTAAAATGACCCACCTGCTCATCACAGAGTCTAATAAATACTATGACAGTTATTCTCAAGCAATATATTCTGACACATATGATCACCGCTAGACAATGGTTTGGTAAACACATTTCTGAGGTTATGCTCTCAACGGTGGATGGATATCCATTGCTGGGTAGCAAGTCTCTAGGCACGTTTCTGTGACAACAAATAGACATGCAGTAATAAAGGAAATGTTGGTGATCTCTATTCGGTTCTACTGAAGTTAAAAAAGTGGGACATATAACTGTTTTGTCAGTCATCTGTAAGAGATTTCATAAGGCAGTTCAGAAGTCGAGTGTACAGCTCTGGAGTGTTAACCAGTAAGCAACAGAAGCTGAATAAGTGATCAATTCGTAAATCAGAACCAAGTCAGTCACAGTAGAAGAGAAGAAAGTTGTAGTCCAGTAAAGAATGGCACACATCTTAGGCAGCCATTGACCGTGAATTATTGTAACTTGATTGTTATTAAGACAGACTGTAAAGAAGGCATCAATAAATCCTATCATCCAATCCACAACCAGTCTTATTAGTCACAAAAACCCTGGATATGTGACAGTATTTTAGCTGTTCAATACTAATGCCCTCACCATTTGGATTCCCCAATTTAAAGTCCATCCACCATCCCCATTTTATAAATCCATAATATCAGATGAAAAAGGTTACAACTTCAAGAAACAAATTTTGTTATGAAGTGAAAGTATAACAATGCAGTGTTACAAGAGTCTGGATTAATCTTACGGTCCCCTTCAAAATCATATGATATCTGTGACCACCAGAAAGGACACAGCAAAGGGGACAAGATAGTTCAGATGGTAACACTTCTGACCATTATATGGAGGTTGCCTGAATCAAATCTAGGACAGAACTGACTCTCCTGACTGAGGTCCTTTGTGGTTTTCTTCTGTTTCTCCACGTTAATGCCATGACAGTATCTTGGAATAGGCCACAACCATTTCCTTCAACTTTCTTTCCAACTTACTGTTCACTAATCATTCTACCATCTGCTCTGCAGGTGCATGTGGACATTTCATGCACACAGTGTCATCATTATGTTTTAAAACAAATCATTTTCTTTAACAGTTTGAGGACCGGTCGCATGATATCATGCTTTTGGCTTTTAAACGTGGTGGACCGGTTGCATGATATCATGATTTTAGGACACGTTAGTTTGTAACACACTATACCTTCCTCTGGCGCCACCCAGGTTGCACACAGTTGTGTAGTAAAACTCTGGAATGTTTGCTTACTTGTCAGTAACTTGACCTTGCTGTTTTCTTAACCCACTATGAAGGAAAATTCTTTGCCTGCTTTGCCTTTGTATGTATCAGCCAGTGGTTAGTGGTGGAGTATGAATAAAGGACAAATTCTTCTCTGATGAGCTAGCTGACCTGCCTTGTGAGACGCGTAGTCATGGTGATTCAGAAAGCGGCAGTGACAGGGGAGAACAAAGAATTGTGGCCACAGACAGTAAAAGTGACAGGAGGTCCGACGATAATGCGGGTAATAACATTGCGGGGACAGTAAAAAATCTAAAAAACTCACAAAAATCTAAACTCTGATTCAAAAGTGAAATACAAAGCATTTCTGATGAACGTGGCAAAGGCCTGGGCTACAGACCAGATGGTGGCGCCATAACCAGAGTCAGACATAGACTTAATGCAACCGGGCCCATCAACTCCCACCTCATGCAGGCCTCATATGGACCCCCCCCCCAGGGTGACTCTCGGGTGATATGCGGAAATATACCATCGTGAAAATTGTGAAGAGTGAACATTCCAAGGGGAAGCATCCTTCCAGGCAATGCCGTGTTTGTACAGTTCACAAAATGGAGTATGTCTACATTTGCAAGTTCTGTGTAATGCCACTTCACAAAGGGGAATGTTCCCAGAAATATCACACCCTCAAGCACTTCTAGGAGCATTGGTAAGTGTTCTCCAAAAATTTTAGTTCATAAAATTAATTAGATTTCATATTAATTTTAAAGTGAACAGTGCACAAGTTAGGTTAGTAGGTTTAATAATGGGGGCCCCAGGGTGATTTAAATATTTAAATTGCTGGTCCACAATGAGTTAAAACACATGAAATTGGTCAGTTTCTGTAATTCAGATATATTCCTAGGCCATCCATAGCCTGTTACAGGTACAGCTTTACCTTTTTTACCATTCCTCCTCAGATACCCTGTATTACTGTATTAAAAAATGACATAAATGTCTATAGAGCAAATTAAAAAAAATGAAATTTGTTACACATAGGTTTAACTGTAATTACCTTTTTGTTGGACTGAGATGAATGCAAAGGTTTTGAATTTTTCCTTTTCCTTCTTGTAGGAGACACAACACTTTGGTAATGCCAGCTAGGTCCCTCCAGAGGATCCTCATTCTGGATTCTGTTTAAGAAATCTTCTTTTGCTGACAGACGCTTTTCTTCCACATTGCAATCATTTAAGAGCACAGAACTGTAATCCAAAGTGCCAATTTCAGCCGTGAAGTTGAGCTGTGTTTGGTTTTCTGTTGTGTCCGACATACTGAGTTCCAAGTCTTTATGTCCATTCTCAATTTTATGCTCCTCTGGCTTGGGACCAGCATCAGCCTTCACGTTCCTTTCTTTCAGCTAAACACAGGCATATCCACCTCAATGAAAACTTAACATCTGTAACCTTTGGCTTGGCAGTAGTGTAGCCTACAGTTTTAACAAAGGAGGCAATCTACGCAAGCAAGAATCCAGTTGAGTTTCAGGACAGTAATTAAATAAAGTACTACACCATTGTCAAGCAAAGTTCTGACACTCACAGTACTGCCTTTTCCAGCAACCAAAGATACCAAAAGGTGATCGAGTAATAAAATGCTCTGATCTACAAATTACAAATGTTGTGACATAGTGCTATTTCATTAAACAGTAAGATCAACAACAAATGTTTTCATAATCAATGCAGTCTCTACAGCTTCCTGTGCGCATGTTATTGTAATAATGATTAACTGGCAATTTCAAATAACTGGCAAAGGAACCTGACTTTTTCAAATGTACATATATAAAGCAGTGAAATTTTATTTTAATTTTCAACTTATTATTACAAAATGAATGAACACTGAATGTCATTTTATTCTGTGTACATTTCATTATGTCTCCGTTTATTTTGCTTTGAATACATCACTAAGATGTTGCCCATCATTGCATACACACTCTTTCAACCTTGCTCGCAGGTTTCCCAGTGCTCGCCTCACTGTTTTCTGGTATTGCTGAAATTTGCATCTGAATTGAAATACCGAAGTCATCGATGGTCCATGGTCTACTGGCGTACACCTTTGCTTTGAAGTATCCGCAAAGGAAATAATCACAGGCGGCGAGATCAGGCAATCATGCAGGCCATGGAAGCTCGCCACATTCTGAAATAACATCCTCCAGAAACATTTCTTGAATGACCCCCATGGATGCTCTCACTGTATGGGCAGCTGAACCATTCTGCTGGAACCATATGGTTGAGAGCTCCATTCCACGATGACTCAGTACTGGTGTAAGGAAGTTCCGTAACATTTCAACATAATGAGCAGATGCAACTGTAACTGCACACCCATCTTCATCTTTAAAGAAATAAGGGCCTATGACTCCAAAGCCTGCCACTCCACACCAAAGAGTCACATGTGCACTGTGAAGAGGCTGTTGATGGAACTGCTGTGGATTTTCTTCTGCCCAGTAGCGTAATTCTGTTTGCTGACACAGCCAGATAAGTGGAAATGTGCTTCATCTGTCATAAGGATAATGAAATCATTGGACAAAATTCCGATTAAACACTCAGCTACCTTGCTACAGTTTGCCATGTCATGATCACTTAACTCCTGCACCACCACCATTTTGTACATATTGATACTTAGATCCTTGTGTAGAATTCTCCTCACACTGCGATCAGATACTCCTAGAGTAGGCATGTTAACTTCAAACAGGTTGTGATCGACTTCTTAGTGTCTGCCAGTGATCTACCACCCGCTCCTATCATCATACCTTGCTTTAAGCAAAAATATTGGTAAAAATAACACGACACATGATGTTTGTTGTAAAAGCAACTAGTAACTGGGATGTGTCTCTGATGTCTGTAGATTCATCCAGTTGGAGGGAGAAAGCAACAAAACTGGAAACATCTTTTAACAACTGTTCAGTTACGTTTCCACACATCATTTCTATTCACCGCCCAATGGTGTTTCTTGTTAATTAAAGATCTTAAATAGTAGCTATGATCTCCTCCTTATTTTATATTACAAGTGAATTTACATGCTTTTCATGTATAATTTCCTTATAGGCCTATGAGATCGACCAAAAATCGTCCCACGATTGACATGTTTGACCTGCCTGTCCTAGAGCAACAGAATGTCTCCTGGCTCAACATCTAGGACTCCTTATGAACGACTGCCTTGCAACCTCACTGTTGTGTGGCAATTGCACTGTACACATCTGCCTGGTGGTTTCGTTTTTAATGCAGAAGCACTCATTCTTAAGTGTTCTACCCATAACTGTATGGTATTGCAGCATGGAGCTGTCCCTTGATGAGCAATATTGAAATGCTTGCAAAATATTTGCTGTGTTTTAACAAAGGAGGAACCACTTTTTAAAAAATGTTTCAACAATAAAGGCATAATATTGTGCACTCCACTGCTAAATGGCTATTGCAACAAAATCACTTAAGCCAGCAAATGACATGGTTCCCACCACCTCATCCTCAGGTATTGCCAACATAACACATTGTAAAAATCGTCAGGTTCCTTTTCCACACCTGTATAATTCTCAAACAGGGATTCTGCATAACTGCCTGCTGTTATCCATAATAAATAGACCATTAATGTCTATCGTAACATATACACAATCATATCTGTCTTTATATAAAGATATCTAATTAACTCTGTGTCAGACACACATACATATATAAATAAACTTCTGTTATTTGTGTTCAATTAGAAGTTTGGTGTAAATGTGGCTGATTCAATTCATTCAGGATACTTTTCTTGTGTGCTCTCTCAACTATCATTCTGGATACAGAAATGAAGGTTGAAACTGCATTAAACAAGAAGTTCTTGGAAGAACTAATCGCCTACTTTCCTTTGATATGACACAGGCCACATAGAAAACAACACTTCCAACAATTCTTCTTTTGTTACATGTGTATTCATTGCAGTGGCAACATTTTACTGAGCTGTTGCCTAGCAACGACTGGGGGCTATACATATAAGCACATAGACTGATGGGAGGGATTTATGACGTACACTGTTGAGATGGGCTCAGGTGACATAATATACACATCACGTTTCAGAGAGATTGGTTCAGCCATTAAAAGTTATTAGGGGTGATACAAAGACAGCCTGGAGATTCCATAAGCCTATTTTCATTTTTTCAAAATAAGGAAAGCATGCTAAAATGTGCATTCTCAACCAAATACCAGACACAACAATATCAACACTCTTTGCTGGTAATTACATGCTGTTAATACATTTTGCAATATTCCAGCATGTAACAGAGTCAATATGGCCTGTGTTTGTTTCAAGCATTCAATAATTGGGACACAGCAGTGCTGGAAATATGTTATAAATTTCACAGATCTACGGCAAAACTACCCTAAGTACACTGCATGCTGCACAATTATTCTGTAATTATATACATCACATGAATAAAACAATGGTTGAAAACTGTACTCCATTCTGAATTTGGTGCTTCTTTTAGGTATTCTGTGTCACAGAAGAATGTAATTTTCTGCCTTCATTCTTTCATGTCAGTGCATCAAACAGAAAATTATTTTTAATGTTGAAAACGTTATTATGTGAGGGTGCATAAGGATGAAGCCATAGGTGACAGTCAGCGTAACACTTGTGCAACCTCTTACGTAACCACTGATAACTCAAGACATATGGCATATCTTATGTTAAATTTATATGTAAATGAAAGAATAAAGATTGACCTATCCAAAAATTGTGTTTATTTTATTCCCCAAATAAAATTGTACATTGTGTAAACAATTACCCAAAACATGTAATAATTTTGCTAATTTTATAGGCTTTCAACTGCCTGCCATGGCTAAATCGTAAGAGATGGATCTGGACATACTGCGAATGAAATACGTTAACAAATGTGAGCTTCTCAAAAATTCAATCTGTTGTGGTCCATTTGCAGCACCTTTTCAATATCTCCTGGAGTCTGTATTTGGTTTATATCTTCTGATTTCTAAGTTCTAGTTATATATGTTAAGGAGACCTGACAGTAGACACTCCCCCCTAGGGTTCCATTCTACTCTTTTAAGATCATGTCACATCAGGAACCATTGTAATTACTGCAGTATCTGTATCTTAGTGAATTGTTGTCAAGGTAATGTGTGTTTGGTGCTACGCATTTTGCCAACCATTACTTAGTAATCGGTGACAACATTGCCCCCATAGTGAAGTCAGGAACCATTGTAATTACCGTGGAAACTGTATCTGCTTAGTGAATTTTGTAACAGAAACATGTGTTCAGTGCTATGCATTGGAGTTGGAATGCATTTAGCCAACCATTACTTAGTAATGGGTGACTTCACTTTGGAAATAATGTTTACCCAGCCTTTGGCTGGTAATGGATGTCTGCAAAATGTTCAAGTTTATGGCAAGGAGAGGTGTGAGGATATGCCAATCATATTGGTGGGTGATTTTAACATCAATGTGAAAGCTAATTACAATGCAAAACCTGTAGAGTTCATGAAAGATACCTCTGAACTTGACGTTCTTTCGGATATTTCTCAAGGGATGACTAGCTCTAATTCTTGCATCGATATGGTCTTTGAATGAAATGAGGATAATTTATCCTGCATGAACCACATTTCATACTTTAGCTATCACAGACTTATCTTGAGCACAACCAATCAGCAAGCTCCTCAACTCACTGATTCAACTCACAAACTAAACACTTTTAATTTCAATAAATAATGTACTGTACATACACTAATGTTTCAATGAGGCTTCAATGTACAAAGTACATTTATTCCAAAACAAATCCCAATTCAATACCGTTTTCAACGTTAACCATGGGAATCAAGGTTCCCCAATCATTTTCTCCTCATATCTATGCATTCAAGAATTCAAAAAAGACTGAAGGAACTCAAGCTGCTTTACTGCTGTGTGCAGCCACTTAATTTACACCAACTTCCTATATACAATGTATATGATTCAATGCTAAATTAGGGTATTATATAAGAAAATTACAGTGCATCATGCTGCAAAGACTTGAATTCCCACTATGACTTGCCTGTTCAATGCTGGTCAGTGTTCCATTGTGAAGATAACCGCTCACATCATGTAAGGCAACAACTAAACGATATTTATCACTGACACCATTCACCTGACTCTTCTGTACCTCAAAGGATGCTGGAGTTTTAGCACGAGAAGATGGTGCATACTTTCTTACACTACTGTTACTTGACTGCTGGTTAGGCACTGCAGTGGAAGGTGTTACATCAAGTGTTCTAAGTGCATACTCAGTTATAACAGCCATAGGTGTACTGTCTTTGGAAACACAGTATTCGACATTAAGGGGACCAGTCCCTCCTGACGATGTGTTGGTGCAGATTTCTGTCACTCTGTTACTGTGTTCAGATAGGGAAGCTACTGAACTGTGTCGGGATGTGGCACTCACATGACTGCTTAGTGATGCTGCCTCGTTATCCTGCACAATTAATCCTCGAGACATGTTTTTCTCTTCTGCCTTCTTGTGTCTGTCTGAGATTCTGAGGCGTTCCAAAGGAACTTCAGCAACTGAAACATAACGCATTATTTTAGACTCACCAATACCAAGTCTAACTTGTGGAAACAGTGAATGACACCAACTATATTACAACTCTGACATATCCACTTTAATATTTATATATGGTTCCAAGGATGACTTCCGAAATGAGAATTTTTTTAAGTATGCTACAAATTCTTTTCTAACAACTGTAATCCATCTCTGAACAATTACCTCCAGCAAGATAATCCATACAAACACTACACAACATTTAATGTAAAACTCTTTCAATGACTAGATAATGTAGAGGAATTTGGCCCCTGGTTTCCTGATTCAAATGTTGCAAATTTTAATCCTTGAGGAAATTTCACACCAGTAATCAACACAATTTTTAGGTACAAAAAACAAAAGCTCCAGAATGAAGAGTACCATCATGTAGGTTGTAATGCCATGTAGTTCAGAATAAGCCTGATGTTTCAGAGGACCATACTGCCTCCATACATGACAAAAGGTAAAGCTGTTCCTGTGCTTAATTAAGCACTATGCCATGAAGACATAAGGAGGAGTGGAGATATACCTCCACCATTCTCCTTGACCTTGGCACTAGATGGGAGTAGTCAGCTTCACATCCTGGCTGCTTTATTCCTGGGGAAAGAGTAGCCTGTACCTGCTGCACAGGTGGCTGGAAGAGCTGCAGAATCGCTTCCATATTATGGGTTGAAACATAAGCAGAGCAAGAAACATCAAGATACAAGCTGCAAGTCCTCTCCAACACGCTGAGCATCTTCAAAACAACATGAAGTTAAAACCCTGACAAACATACTTTTCATAGTCCCTGCTGTGGTAGCTTCAAATCCAATAAAAATTTGGAATGGTGGCCTATAAATCACAGAAAACAAACTCTTAATATGCACCAATGTAAAATGTGCTCAAATGTTAAAGACCAGCTGCTGTTTAAATTGTGTAGCACAGAGAGAATAAACAGTCAAATGCAAGTGCATGCTGTATAGGCTGGAGGATATACTGAAACCTTTTGCACTGTTCATAAGTTTACCTACATATTATAGCATGCTGACCCATTACCGGGCAATAACCTGGAAACAAACACTGAAACAACATCTGATGCTAGGCAACAGATTCTTAATAAGCGAGTATATGCAGCTGTTACTGACTAACGCCTTCACAAACAACCATGCTCCCATGGAAATGACTGGAGTACAACAATGAATGGAATTTTCTTGTGGTACATGCCAAAATGTTATAAGGAGGTCAGCTGGAGTGAGAGACAGTTGTAAGGGAGTCTGTGAAGAGAAGACTTAGTTGATGCAGTCAGCAAAGAAATGAAAGTGAAAGCTGAAGAATCTTCATTGTCAGAATCTATTATTCAGGGAATAACCAGTGAAGACACAGCAGACTGAAAAGGCTTAGCATGTGCTGTAGTGATCTGTAAAGTGCGGAGATTAGAGATGGTGCTATCATTAAGTGTAGTCACAGGTCTTGTATTAAAGGGATCAATAAATCCAATCTCTAATCCAAACCCCATCTATAGTCACTCCCACAGGTGACAATATAATAAATGAAGAACTTAAACTGTCTGTATCAAGTGGAACAAGGTGGGATACCATTAGAATATCCAGAACTAAATGCAACACATACCACATACAGCTTCCATATTATGTTTACTGTTTTGGTTGGAAAACCTGAAGGAAAATGCTCTCTTGTAAGACCTAGGCATTGGCAGCAGGCAACATTAAAAAAAATCTTAGGCAGGATGAAAGGGAGCCCATGGAATTCACTTAGCTCAAGGCAGGCCCGGAAGGTGATTTTGTGAACACAGTAATGAATGCTCACTTTTCATAAACAGAAACAAGTTTCTTGACTAGCTGACCAAACCAACATCTCCTCATAAACACTCTGCTCCATGCATTATTAAGATATTAAATTCACCATATTATGCACCATTAACTAGTGGGAAAGAGAACTCAGTTTCCAAATATACAAGTTCAAATGCATGGAAATGACTGTCATATAATAATTCTTATATACAGCATGTTCTAAAAGTTGCTTTATGGAGATTATACTTACACTCCAGAAAAAATACTTTATTTACTACCAACCACCATACTCACCCTCCTCACTGTCACTTTCTGATACTGGCTGGTTGAAAAGTACATATTTTTTTCTCTGGAATATGAGTATAGCCTCAGTAAAGTAGCTTTGAGAACATCCTGTATACATGAAAAAAAAGGTTCTTTAAGCATGAGAGTAACACTGTCGGCATGAAAAAAAAAGGTTCTTTAAGCATGAGAGTAACACTGTCGGGTTACACAATTTCAGGTTACCATAGCAACAATTTGTTGAACCTTAACATGACGCATGGACGCGAGTTTTAAAGTACATCATAAAGTAGTGCGAGCAGACTTTTGTTTCAGTGCATGTCTGTTTTCTAAGTATGTTACAATATTGTGATATGGATATGTGGAGTGTGGAGTACTTTATAAAAGAGGTGATCAAATGTTTGCGTTTATTATTTGTGGGAGATTGTGTTAAGCTCCAGCCTTGACATATCATCCCACTTCTGACACCAGTTGTCATGTGTATTAGTGACTAAGAAATCGGTTCATTGGATATTCACTAGTTGTAACTACAAATAATTGTAACACTTCCAAGATTGCTGTAATTATAACACACACATCAGATCTTCTATTCACTTGTCTTGTAAGCACTCTACACTAGTCTCTCAAATGTCTAGAGCTCTCCTGAACTCTCCACACACTCTCTGACTTAAACAGATATCCATTATATAGGTGATGCACGGACAACATACAAAACATGTCATGTGATAGTGCTATTGCAGTGTGATGTATTGCGCCTGCACATAAGTCTGTTTACTGAGCAATTGCCTAAAAGTGAGTTGCATAACTCGCTGTTCCGTTGTTGAGAGCATGTATCGCATGTGTTTACTGGTCCGCTACCTAGCAATGCTCCAGCGATTCACGCTACATTATATAGGACTTCAAAGGAATACAGACGCAGAGGAAGTTAACAGTATGAAAACTTGTATAACAAATGACAAGATTTCTCGTTGAATTCTCAACACATGTTACATTGGTTTTCATTAAATTAAAATCACTAACTAATTTAAATGAAAATATGTCTCACCTGGAAGTACAATATCATGGTATGTCAGAGGAGAGGAAGAGGCCAACATTCTTCCCGTACTTGGATTGACAGGGATTTCAACACAATCCTTGAGCAAAGCACAACAAGTTACATATCATCAACTTATATTCAAAGTGAATAAATATAAAAGACTGGAATTTTCAAAATTTCTAAGAATACAGTAAGCACAGCTACCCTTGAACTCACAATTCCAGTTTTCTATCACCAAATACTAAATTACAGTTAAAAGACAGAAACTTTTGTTTATGTCACGTGATGTGTTCAGTGGGGTAAGTTGGTTCAAACAGTAACACCTCCAGCCTACATTTGTGAGGTATCTGGTTTGAATCCAAATCAGGATATCAACTATCCTGACTGAGGTTTCTCAGGTTTTCTCCAGTCTCTCCAAGTGAACACTGAGTGCCTTGAAAGGAACCATGGTTGCTTCCTTCCACATCCCTTTCAATTCACCATTCATTAATGACCCTAACATCTATGCCATTCAGTGTGTCCTGTCAGCACTGTTAAATAAGCTATATAAAAATTAAAACCAAATGAATGTCCATGTAACTACATCACATTCATTTGTAACAGAGATTGGAATATGAGACATGGCTGTGTAAAAACTGTGTTTGCCCTATTATAACACATAGTCCTAGCTTCTGTGTGATGAACTTGGGAGTTACAGCCATATTTCTCCTGAATGACAATGTTTGTCAAGCAAAAGCAAGAAACCAGTGGAAGCAGGCAGTAAATTCTTCACCTGCTTCTTCTGGTTTCTTGATTGGCTTACTCTTCTACCCTGAAGATGGAAGTGATATGTTGCTCTGAAACATGAGGCTCTCTGTAAACCCACAGGTAGATCACTAAAAATTCTGAATTGATTTGGTGCAGGGTTTATTAGTAGAATATTCTTAGAAACACAAAGTGACAGAACCCTGTGCAGACAACATACGTAGTAAAAAGTCTGACAGAAAAACAGTTCCTCAGTAGAATAAATTAAAGAAAAAGGAAACCAAATGCACATAACAGTGTGTTGTGAGCAACAAACAAGGGAAAAGATATATGAGACAAACTCCGTCTTAAGTGCAACAATTTAATTGTAGTTCTTTCTTCTTTCCTTCCTCTACACTACATGTTTCGGCCCTAAATGGCCATCATCAGGTGTATATTCTTACGTAGCTGCTACACTGCCAGTAGTTTAAAATTTAAAAACACCAGTCTTTCCAATTGTATGTATGTATAAAATCTTTGTTAACCTACACACGTCAATTTGATTAATTATTAAATTAATCAATTATTAAAGATGGGCAGCAGCACACGCACAGAGAGCCTACACAGAACAATACCCGAACAGCAATAAAACAAGAAGTGGCTGCTGCAGCACTATAGACATAGGGCGAGTACCCCGAGGAATTTTAATTTTTAAAATTTGGAAAAAGAAAAAGANGGTTAACAAAGATTTTATACATACATACAATTGGAAAGACTGGTGTTTTTAAATTTTAAACTACGGGCAGTGTAGCAGCTACGTAAGAATACACACCTGATGATGACCATTTAGGGCCGAAACATGTAGTGTAGAGGAAGGAAAGAAGAAAGAACTACAATTAAATTGTTGCACTTAAGACGGAGTTTGTCTCATATATTGTGTGAGTGTAACAGGATGCTTAAATATAATATTGTAAGGGAAAAGATGAGACACAATATACCAACACGATGCTGTGAACTATCCTTGTATTAGGTGCTATCGGAAAGTTCCCGGGCTTGGTAAAAAATGAAATGCTGGTTTCACTTACTCAATTTTGGCCGCCATCTCCTTCATAATAGTCTCCTTGGGAATGTATACAGCAATCCCATTGTTTTCTTCGTTGTCCCTTCAGTTTCATTTTCAATTTGGGAAATAAAGTGAAATCAAAGGGGGCTTGATTTTGCCATCCATTGCAGACAAAACAAACCATGAAGTCAAAAAGGCACTCATGTAAAAACAATGCGTGTTCACAGTGCGATGTCACGTGGCAGACTGATACAATAGGCTTGCGGAAGTGTGACATTGGCCTCCCCTCTCATCTTCTTTCACTGAGGCAGTTACAACAATAGTCCAGGAAATTTCTGATACCACCTCTTATGTGGACAAATGTTTTTAAGGTGTATCATACCAAGGATTTCTAAGGTAATGTGAACTACAATTTCTTCTTTTCATTTGCCAGCATTAAATCACTTCTGAACAGGATTATTAAAACATATTTGGTTCCACTTATGTAGTACAAATATTCTGAAGATATTTGTTGGCACACAGTCAAAATTTCATTATAAGCCAATCAAAATAGAGAATATGTGGCCATTTAAAAGGCTCATGATTTTCTATTTGCAAAAATTAAATACCTGGCAGAAAATTATCCTGATTCATGCTCTGGACATGGTTTAAATGTCACTGTGCTGAAAGGTTCTGTGTTATGTCATCCTGTTGTCTTGGTGGTGGATACTAATGTTTCAGAGGAATGTATTACCTCCATCTCCAGAGTTGACACTGATGCCTAAGGCAGCATATTCCTTTCAAATGTTAGTAACACTATGTGGTGTCAACCCACAAGACAACAACAAGCAACACTGCTGTGAAAGCCTAAAAACTTCTAAATGTTTATAAAGCTGTCATACAAACATTTTGCAATGAACATAACCCTTTCTTACTCCAATATGATTTTTACTTTGAACATAGTACATCATAAAATAAATTATGTACGGGGTGCCCGAATGAAAGGTATCCAAAATAAAATAATTATATCTCAGAAAGCATTTATTATACACATCTATGGGTTACACCATAACAAAGGGAAAATATTAAAGTTATTGAAGAAAGTCGTCTTCTGGGTTTAGGCGCCATGTATTCATCCGGCCAAAACGATGAATACACGGCGCCTAAACCCAGAAGACGACTTTCTTCATAGTCATCGCCGTGAAAACCTCAAAACTTACATATTAAAGTTATTTTCCGAGTGTACAACTTTCTCAATAAACCGCAATGTAGGTTCCCTTGGTGGCACAACATATATCCATACAATATTTGACCTTGTTCCACATTGCTTGAAGCATATTTGGTGTTACCGTAGCCACTGGGGTCCTCATGCGGGCTTTCAGGTGTTGAAGGTTGTTGATCTTAACCTGGCAGACAATGCCCTTCATATAACCCCACACAAAAAAATTCAATGGGGTTAAATCTGGCAACCTAGGAGGCCAAGCTATTGGTCCACCTCTGCCGATCCATCTCTCTGTCCAGATGATTCCTAACATGGTGGCTGAAATGTGGCAGCACCCCATATTGTTGGAGGACAGTTTGAGGTGGTAATTGGGGCTGCGCATACAGCTCCAACATGTCCAACTATGAACTCCAAGTCACATCAGAAAAGAAAAACGGTCCTATCAACTTGTTGTGCATTAAGCTTACCCACACATTCACTTTGGGGCTCTCTCTCTCCGATTCACATGTGATATGCAGATTTTGATTGCCCCAAATCCTGCAGCTGTACCTGTCTACAACTCCCTTGACATGGAATGTCGCCTCATCCAAGAAGCACACTTGGCAGAGGAAATTGGGTGATACATCAGTTCTTTCTAGCATGTCCACAGTGAAATTTGTGTGGTGTTAGTGCATGAATCATTTGAATTTCATATGCTCTTAAGTGAAGCCTTTTGTGTAGCACATCATGCACTGTTGAACATGGAATTTATAACTCCAAGCTAGCAGCCTGAATTGATTTGTGCAGACTTCACTGGAATGCCTCTCTAATGTGACTAACATTTTCTTCAGAGTTTCCTGTTTTTCCAGATTTTACATGCAACAAACTACCTGTGGTCCTCAGTTTGTTGTCCCAGAACCAAATACTTTTCTGGGTAGTAGGTTGATGTCCATATTGCATTTTGAAACAACCACTGGACAGACGTAAGAGATCGCAACTCTGCTAGCCACAACAAGCAGTGAACCTGTTCCTGTGGTGTCAACATCATTACTGAGCTTGCCAAAGGTCACCAGCTGGTGTATACATGAAAACTGGATACGCGTATGACAATTAGTTTCCAAACAAAATTTATTTAATTTTGATACCTTTCATCCGGATGTGTACTTTTATGTTACTGCCAAATTGTATTAAATGTCATCTCTTTTTACTTTTTGTACATGCCTGGAATCTTTACCAATACTTACTTATAAATGTGACGTATGGAATTGAATGGATACTTTATAAAATCATATAGGATTCGGTATTAGAGAATTTTATTCCACACGCACTCAGTATCAAACTGTGAAGTCATAAAAATCATTGATTTATAGGAACAATATGTGCCAGACCCACTATGGATCCCAGATAATGATCAAACAGTTACTTTAAAAACCATACCTCTTCATCTGAATTATCGGAAGGTGGAGGAGAAGAATCCGTGGAGTTTTCTGCTGTTCTAGTGAGATCCACTTCTTCAATGTGATCTGTTGGCAAAAAACAGCAATTCCTCACAACAGAATTTTTAAACAAATCTGATTATATGATAAAAAGAAAAAGTACATCATCTGTGAGGAAGTGAAGGAATCTACCTCTCACACATGCACAAAACCCCCAGCGCCACTGAGAAATCCATTCTCACGCAAATGATCACCAAGTTTCGCAGTCAGAGTCAAATGNTTTTGATACCTTTCATCCGGATGTGTACTTTTATGTTACTGCCAAATTGTATTAAATGTCATCTCTTTTTACTTTTTGTACATGCCTGGAATCTTTACCAATACTTACTTATAAATGTGACGTATGGAATTGAATGGATACTTTATAAAATCATATAGGATTCGGTATTAGAGAATTTTATTCCACACGCACTCAGTATCAAACTGTGAAGTCATAAAAATCATTGATTTATACGAACAATATGTGCCAGACCCACTATGGATCCCAGATAATGATCAAACAGTTACTTTAAAAACCATACCTCTTCATCTGAATTATCGGAAGGTGGAGGAGAAGAATCCGTGGAGTTTTCTGCTGTTCTAGTGAGATCCACTTCTTCAATGTGATCTGTTGGCAAAAAACAGCAATTCCTCACAACAGAATTTTTAAACAAATCTGATTATATGATAAAAAGAAAAAGTACATCATCTGTGAGGAAGTGAAGGAATCTACCTCTCACACATGCACAAAACCCCCAGCGCCACTGAGAAATCCATTCTCACGCAAATGATCACCAAGTTTCGCAGTCAGAGTCAAATGTGTAACAGGAGAATTGGATGACTCCTAAAACTTTCCTTGAATGTGTGCATATGGCTAGGATTCAAAATAATGTTTCATTAAGAATATATGCACTTAGAAAAAAAAACATGCTGCTGATTGTGTCATAATATTACCGGACATTACTGTCACTCATTAGGAGTGATGAGTGATGCCAACTATTACATGCATATCATATTCCATCAACCTGTCACAGATTACTAAAAACTTAATACGAAATAGCATGACTTTTGCATCATTCTCAATATTATAATCTGCTATTCTGTGTATAGTTATGGAGAAATGATTTCTTGGGTCATTTGATGATGGTGATTCAACTACTGGGGTTACATTATGAGAAAGAAGAGATGAATACTAAAAATTTTTCTCTTAACACCTGAACAGCTAAGCCATTACCTTAGTACCCACGACTGGCTTAACAAAATAAAAAGATAACCACAAATACTTACTAGAGTTACCTGTGCAATATACACAAATACAAAAGCATCATCCAAAGAAAAATGTCCTTTAATCAATAAATGAGTATACTACCTCACATGTTCTTTGATGTCCGAACATTTTATAAATAAAAAATTTACAATTTCATTTTTATAGTGTCCCACTGAAATTCCAGATAAAACAAAACTGAAACACTGTGCTATAATTATAACATATTAAATCAGCGGCCTCCGTACTCTAGAGGTAACGTTCCCACCTCATGACTCGTAGTACGTGGGTTCAAATACCCGGCGGAGGTCGTCGAATTTTTAAGGGCGGACAAATTCAGGGAACAAGTCCTCCAGGAGGGACTTTAAGCCGTGTGTCCCGCGTCGTAGCTTTACGGCACGTAAAAGACCCTCATATCTCCAAAGGAGGTCACTGAGCCAAATTACGGACGTTTCCCGCCCAACAGCAGTCTCTAATACCTCTGGTAGATGGGGGAAGCATTATAGATACCTCTCAGCTAGTAGAGCCGGTCTCGCTGGCTGGGCGGGACTGATGGTAAGCACCAGTCCTGGTAGGATATAGAGACTGGTAAAAATCACAGAGGGAAGCACAATGGACCAATACAGGTCTGAGTGCATGGGGAAACCCACCCTCTCCAATAACTAACTAACTAACTAACATATTAAATCTCGCTCCAAACGTAAAAATAATAAAATGTGGAATAAAACCAAAACGAAACATAATGAAAATTTCCTTATATTGAAGTCCAGCACATTGATTTAAGGTTAAAGAAAAGATTGTGCAGAAACATATATAACTAACAACAGTTACAACCTAACTACTCCATTACAGTGGACTGAATTCATCCAGGATAGGTTTTTGTGGTAATTATGATGAACACTCTACTCAATAACAGAGAATTCAACACTTAACATTTATCAACATACTAGGAAGGCAGGGTGGCTGTGTCTTTGGTGGGGACGTATCACAGACCAGGGATGCGTTGAGACACAGCTTTGGAACACCTCCTCGTGGTCCTGCTGGGCAATGACAGTCCTGGAGGGTCTGCATTAGCATGAACCTCCGGGGTTGCGGCCAAGTTTCCATAAAGGGCAATGGACATTTGACCAGAGCCTCCCACGTGGCGGCATAATGACTCTTGGGTTTCATTACGATGTACCCAGGACGAATGCAGGAGAGCACTCCCATGGGGAGCTATTTGAGTTGTCTCCCTAGAGTACCAATAAGGTGCCGCAAGCCTTAGGGCTCAACACTCTAAAATGGTTTCAACCAACCCATGTGGAGGGGTGGGAATGGGTGAACTCTGAAGCAACCTCCAGGGGCAATAATCTCGCGTAGGATGCCCTGGTCGCAAACTCATGACAATTAGAATCGCACTCCCATTTATCATCTGGGATACCCCCCTACCCCGAACATGCACTCTTGGCCCTGGAGGCTTGTGAGGGTTATACTTGTAAAGGACCAACCTCCTTAAGCCAAGGTGTGAGGCATCATGCCAAGGGCTGCATGGCACTGCGGTTATTGGCCGGTGTCACGAACGATCCCCTCGGGGCACCAGGCAGCACCCCGTTGTATTTATGCCTTCCACCCGTATGGGGCTCTGCGGGTGGTGACCTTTAAAATCCCCATTTCTCGTGGGATCAAAATGAAAAAGGGACCTAACAAGAAAACCAGTCGTAAGGACCTTAAACTTAAGAGGGACCCCCCTTTAAGGGGATCCCTACGAGAAATGCTTCAGCAGGGGGCTGGAAGCTCTGGTGAACCGTTAAGGGGCTCAGAAGCAACCAGCAAACCTACTGTTGTAATTTCAGCCAAAGGCAGGGATGAACCAATGATTGAAAACCTACCAGAGGCAAAACCAAAAACTGCTCTCTTGGGAGTCGTTAGTACTGGCATACCACTGCAGGGAGCCAGTACTTCCAACATACCTGTAGCAGGGGAAAGACTGGGACACCTAGGCTCTGGAATAGGTGGACCCTGTTTGGCGAAAAAACCCTCGTAGAGGGCCGCTAAACGGCAGTTACAATGGGCAAAAGCTGGGATAGGCAAAGCAGGAACTGGGAGCAGTCAGCAACCAGGGAATGCAAGCTCGTCCAAACAGGGAGAAACCCCCACCAGCACCTTTAAGAGGCCAAGGTCAGAGGGCAGTACTCCTACGGAAATGGCCAGAACTCTGAAAAAAACCCAGGGACTGTAAAGGACCAGGGACTTACAAGGAGGCTCTGACCAATGTAAAGGTAGCTATCTTCAGGGAGACTTACCTTGAGGATAAGCTTACCGAAGACGACCAAAATTCCATTCTGGAAGTATTGGGTGAGCTGTTCCGTAGGACTCCAAAGGAAGAACTACCACACCTGAAATCCTACAGACTGCTAGGAGGTGCACTTATTTATATATGTGCCAACCAACAGTCTGGTCAAGGGCTCATCAGAGGCACTGACAACCACAGGTTTAAATCAGGAACCAGGCTGAAGGCTACTGATGCCAGGAACCTGCCTAAGTCTGTTAAAGTAGCTCTCCGGACTAAGGACAAAATTGTCCAAAACCAGGAAGAGCTGCTGAAATGGATTTCAGACCTTAATCTGGGATTCCATACAGAGAACTGGAGGGTATTAGACAAGCAATCTGAGTCAAAAGGCCAAAGGCTTATTCTATTCATAGACCGGGACTCCTATACTATTATACAGAGGACTGGTTATAAAATATTTACAGGACTCTCACAGGGGACTCTTAAGGTGCTGGACGATCCTGAAGTTCGGCGCCGGACAGAACCCGTGACAGACACTGTATCTTCTAACTCAGCCTCTGAGGAGGAAGGGGATAAGGTACCCAGCCCCCCAGATGACCGAAGTAAAATGGATCAGGGACCTCTTCACATGGAACCCAGTACGAGAAAGAGGAGGGACATAAGATGGAAATTGATACCTCCTCAATTGGAAGAGATCATGAGATTTCTCCAAATCAACCTACACCACAGCAAAAGCTGCCACAGCAGCTCTGTGTCAACATCTAGCTGAGGGTAAGGCTGACATAGCACTTATTCAGGAACCTTGGTTATACAAGGGTCGAATAAGGGGCTTAAATAATACAGGGGGAACAGTTTACTCTGTTGTACCCAGTAATAATGCAAGATCTTGTGTTTATATCGGGAATCATGTTAATGCCTTGCCTTTGCTGGAGCTCTGTTCTAGGGACGCAACAGCAGTAAGGATAGCATACCCGTATCGAGAAGGCAGCAAGGAGCTTATAATTGCTTCAGTCTACCTTCCATATGACTCGGATGAACCACCGCCAACTAAGGAAATTAGGGACATCATAGACTACTGCTTTAGCAGGAAAAAGCAACTCATCATTGGGTGTGATGCCAACGCGCACCACATTTTGTGGGGGAGCACCGGCACTAACCCAAGGGGAGAGAGCCTTATGGAATTTCTGGTGAGTTCGAACCTGAATATTCTAAACCATGGTAACGAACCTACCTTTGTGGTTTGCAATAGGAAGGAGGTTATTGATTTGACACTAGGGACAAATAA